TGCATAGCTCTCCTTCAATATCTCTGACAGGGAACAATGGATGGGACAGAGTACCTGTGAAAACCTGGGAAGTTTGACTCCCAGGACCAAAGCTAATGGTTCCTTCCTTAATTCTGAACTTATGTCTCTGATTGAATTAGACATCGCACTAACTCTTTTATGATACCCACTGCTTATTACATTTGGAATAGCTTATGATAGGTATTTGCTGAACATGGCAGACTGGTTGTGTTTGCTCCAATTTGTATAGAGCAGACTAATCACACTAAACATAGGCATAGACACATGGGGTGGCTCCCATTCACTACCTGTCAAATGATACATAAGATTTTAGACACTGACTAGACAAGAAGAGAGAACAAATCTTTATAGACAGACGCCTCTCTAGTCATCAAAGAGGTATTTAGGTGTGGCACAAATTTATGGCCGTATCTTCCCTCTGCATGGACTGGCAACTGTACATTGGGCTTCCCAACATTACCAGGGAAAATTTATGAGAATTGGTCAGGAATCCCCCAAAACTTACCTGCTTTGAACTCCCAATGGACTTGCAGTCTGTCTTGGTCAGAATGGACTGTTTGCATTTTCTTACTCCAGTGTGCTGATATTAGTGCCAAGCTAGAAATTCAAGACTTGGCTAAGTTCATAGCAACTGCCTTAAATTATTGTAGACTGAGTATTTTCTTGCTGAATCAAGAAACTGCTCAAATGAGAAAAGTGGTTTTGCAAAATAGAATGGCTTTCAATATTCTCACTTCAGCACAAAGTGAGACCTGTATTCTCATTAAACAAGAATGCTGTACTGACATTCCTTCTTATGAATCTAACATTACTGACCTCTTAGCCCATATGAAAAAATTCTATAGATAAGGTTGATCAGATTTCCTTTGCTGACTCATTTAGTCGTTGGCTTGCTTTTCTCCTTGGGAAATAGGGTTCAGCTATTTTGGGGATTCTCTTATCACTAGTAGATTTACTTTTTCTCTTGCTGCTGCTTGTATTGCTGTTGTGGTATAAACACGCAGGCCATCTCTTGATATCAGGTCCCAAAGATTCTGTGGAAGATGGGTGGACAAGATTGTATAGGCCACAGAGATGCTGAGGTGGAAAGTAGATGTGACCAAAATCAACTCCATCTCTGTGTTTCAGATTTCATTTCATCTTTTGTTTCATGCTGTGACATTTGACCAACCTCACTGTCCTTAGCAAGTGTACCAAAGCCTTTAAGTTGATGATTATCTGTGTTCCATTAAATGTAGCCATAAATATCTTTGTTAATAATGGCCAGAATGGCATGACAACCATAATAAATATCAAACTGGTCATATAGTGTCAATTATAAACAATTACCTATCACAAGACTACCAGGAGGTATGGCCCCCAGCACTACTGCATTCCTTGTCCCTTTGTCTAGTCAATCATTTGTACCCAAGTTATACTATATAAAAAGTATAGTAATAGGAGTCTGTAGTAGAGAATAATCTGTGCAGAATTGCTGGATCTTCTGTGTGGCTCCGACCCAATCTTCCCCTAATGTATTACACTATAATGAATTCTGTTATATTCTACAGAGTTGTGTGCTTCTTTTGTTGGTCTTAAGATACCTTCATGTTATAGTAGCCGTCACACCTTTGCTACACCATTGGACAGTAGAGCATTTTAATTTTCCAATTCGATTACCAACACAAAGTCTTTAGTCATCAACATTGAGCCATATTATTTGAGGTAATGCTGGTGGCATTATCAACACCCGAACTTCAGTGATATAACACAATAAAAGCTTTTTTCCTTTTTTTTCATGGCATAATCAAATGGAAGTGTTCACCTTTTGTGGAGTGGGAATCTGCCTTATTAATTATTCTAGATCCTAGGCTAATAAAAGCATTGGCACCTTTAATATATGGTTTCTAAGGTTTTCTGGGCTTTGACATTGAGTCTGCAGACAGAGGAAGGAAGAAGTTGGTTGTATATGGGAGGTTTTTATGGGTCAGATCTGGAATTGACACATTACTTCTGTTCATATTTCTTGGTCAGAGCTCAGTTATATAGTCACACTTAACTGAAAGGAAAGCTGAGAGATGCTGTCTGATGTCTCTCCAGAAAGATAAGAAAATGAGTTTGTTATTAAGCAAGGGATTTTTATGTAATCTAGAGAGTTTTACTAAGGACTAAAACAAACAAAAAACTACTCTTTAACATACTACTATCGCCAGATGTAAGATGACAACTATTTTTTAAATAATAAATCTTGTTACTTTACCAAAAATATTTTCAGAAATTTGTAAAAAGGATCACTTTAAATGAGTCAGATTTTATTTTCAATACTCATATTTTTCAGATCCCACTAAGAGAAAAAAGGAATTTTAAAAGTAATAATGCATAAAACTGAGTTTATCCAGATTTTCCAACCACTTGTTGCAACAGAAAAATATATAAAACACATGAAAGATTTTAAGCCAGAAACACAAGTTCTATAATGGCTTTCAACACAAAAGTATTTCTCAGCTAAATTTTAAAAGAAGAATAGAAGATGACCATTAGCAAAAGGCAGCAACATATGCCAAGGGAGACCATGGTGTATTTCTAGAATACAAGTGGTATATATGTATGTATGTAGTGCCAGTGGAAGCAAGATATGGAATTGAAAGAAACTCCTGATGTTATTGCAGAAATGATGAACTGTTCACCCAAACTGTGTTTCCTCTTCCTTGGATAGAATCGTTGATGAGAAGTGGCTGTATAACATGTGGCTATCTGAATGAATTTCAGCCAATAAAATGTGAGAAAAAGGAACAAATATATTACTTCCAAGCTCAAGTTTTTAAGATGTAGATGAGCCTCCACTATGCTGTTTCCCTTCCATTGGCCCGATGCAGAGGACGATAAGATCCTATTTGATAAAAGCTACCATGTAGATAAAAGCTACTCACAGACTAGAAACTCCCACCTTGATAGACATACGAGATAGAAATAAAATTGTATTGAGAAAAGCCATCGAAATTTGTTACAGTAACCACCATTATCCAAATTAATCAATTCTGGAAAGGTTGGGTAGGAGCCACTTGTAAAAGGTCATACACTATGCGAAAATATTGGGTTTGGCACAGAACGGTAGATATGAGTAATATAATTTTAAGTGTGAAAAGGACACTATAAAGTTCTTGTTTCAGAAAAACTAAATTAGTGACAGTGTGAAGAATGATTTTTAGGATAGGAGAAACTAGGAGATCATTTTAGTGACAATTCCAGACACAAAATATTGCAATCCTGAAAAAAAATAGATAGTGTTTAGTGAAATTAGAAAGGAGGGGATGTATTCCAGGAGTAAAAATTTTAAAAAAAGAGTATAGGTGGTACTTGGTGACTGAATAGATTTTAGGGAGAGGAAAATAATGGAATTATTTTAAGAATGTTTCCATTGTGAGCAATTGGATTGATGGTAGTACATACATATAGATAGAGATTACAGAATGAGTTTAGGAATAAAGTCCAGTTAAATTGAGTTTGAAATTCTTGTGGGACATCAAAATGACAAAAACTGGTAGGCAGTTAAAATATTACTGCCTGCCTGTTGAGAGAACCAGACATATGCACAGTAATTGAAGTGATTGAAACAGGTGGACCTACGCCATTGAAACTTTGCAGCATGAGGAATAGGTCAAGTATGGAAAGGAGGGACAATAGGTAAAATCTCAGTTATTTAACTACACTCTATCATGTCTATCCTTAAAGAACATGGGCTCCTTTATCATTTATTCTTTTTCTCCTCAGAGAAACTGAAAGGGAGGACAAAAAGGGATGTGTAACGAAGAAGTGTGATGTTTCTGAAATTAAGTTGGGAGAGACTTTAATGATGAAGTGATCACAGTGTCACAAGCTGTAGGAAGTAAGAGAGTAGCTATAATGGCTAAGTCCTGCATTTAGGTCACAAGATCGTGTCCTTTTGTTTGTACCTAATGACAAGAAAAGAGTGCTCACACATACCTTCTGGTTAAACAGTAAACACAATGCCTAATTTATTGTGCCTTCCACTTCTCCAATTTTAGAAGAAAAGGGAGGTCACTAAACAGAAAACATATTCCACGATTTTATTATGCTATGAATTAAAGCCAAGTAGGTAGCTGTTATCAGAGTGGAAAGTAGGATCTTGTTCTGTCATTTCAGGTCTGTCTCTCTGTGTACTAGTTCTCATTGTTTTTCAGGCAGGAAAGAGAATGAGAGTGAGAGCAAGAGAGAAAGATACACCTGTATTTCAGTGAGCAGAGTAGGAGTGGCCATGCTGCTGCTTCCGGTTGCCCTGGGAGGAGGCACAGGGCTAAATCTTTTCATTAGGTTTACCAGTTGTAACTATGGTTTATCAGTCACCATGTGATGGGTTTATCTGTTTTAATTTTTCACTTTGTGCAAGTCAAACAATTTTCATCTATTCAAAATCCAAACCAACTAAATAAAATAGTTAAATTTGGGGCCTAAAACTATCTACTTATTTAAGCCATCAAATAACCATCGAAAGAGATTATTATTATTAGGTTTAAAAGAAAAAGCCAGGAAATCTAAGCATAGGAGAGATTTTTTTTATACATTTATTCTAGTTTTCAGTTAAAGTCCTAGCTAACAATTAAAAGGCCATTACCAATCTTAGCAGGGCAATTTTATTGGCATGGTGGGAGCAGAAAGCATATTACAGTGGTTTACAGAATAAAAGGGAAGGCAATGAAGTACAGATAATGAATTTAAGATTAAAAAAAAAGTAATGACAATTACTGCTAACCAAACTAACTTAAATGTTGTTATAAGCAAATATCAAAGATGACTAACCATGAGGATGTAAAGAAAAACACCAGAGCGAAACAAGTTCATTGGACTAAACCTTTGTTAATTGAAAACAAACTTTCTTGGATGTAGCACAAGCAAAAACAAGAGACACTTTAATAAGATTCTAAGAACAATTTGACACACTGTTAACTGAAGAACTTAATATTCAGATTATAAGGCTCATGCTTATGACGTAGAAATATTTGGTTACTGTGTCAGAGGCTGAGCTTGAGTGTGATACTCCTTTATAAATGCCAAATTTAAATAAAACAAAATAAAACATTACAAATAAAAACCCGTTGAAGGTCAATAATGCCTTCAACTCAATGTTGTTGTAATAAATATATCATATGTCAATCTGAGTTCAAGATAAATAATATATTAAATGGGGTCAATATGTAAAATCTCAGTTATTTAACTACACTATATCATGTCTGTTCTTATTACCTGCAATCAAGTCACCAGTGGAATCAACAAACAGTAATATATGGAAATTAAAAACAAACAATAACATGGCAACCACGTATCATGGTTTTGTTAGATGTCAGCTCTACTTTTACCAGTCAGTACTGGTGATAATTCAACATTTTATCTACATTTTAAAAAGAAGAACACCTTAATCTTCATTTTTTCCAGTGACAATATGATGTTAGTTATGTCTTTTGAGGTACAAAGAAGAAATTGGTAAGTAATAACGTTCAGTGCAGGTGGGTAAATTCAGATGGTGAGTTGAATTCATTTGCAAAGTAATACCCAAACAGTAATTGCATTTATTTACTTGGTCATATATTCAGTTCTAAAGAGGTAATAGTGAAAAAAACATTTCCATAGTCATGTATGACAATTTAAATATAATGATATTTCAAGGAATATAATTTGTATGTGTTAGCCTAGTAAACAAATTCCAAACATTTCTTTACTGACTACTGAATTTCTGATTCATTTTTTCGGTTTATAGGGTAACGCAAATTCAAACATTAAGAAGTTAGGTTTAATCTGTAGGTTGAGATTGGTAGATGAAAAAT